AATTTTTTTTTTGAAATTTTCAAATTTTGACCCGGCCGGGTTATGAAAACCATTTAATTAATTTTGCATGGCCTAAGATTTACAACATAAAAATTGATTTTCTGAAGATCTTTGTTTTTGTCAATTTTGTCCCTTTTTGCAGCACCGAGCCTATATATATATATATATATATAATTACTTTGCTATCTGATAAGGTATCTATCATCATATCCATAGCTGTATCTATCAACAAATTTAACTTTAGCAAAATATTATTATATAACCTGATGCACAACAATAGTCATGCTAAGATTATTATCGCAAGGATCGTCATCTATTGCCCCTTTAGAATCTATGATGATATTTTGACGTTTGTAAAACATAGAGATATAAATTGAAGTCAAATATGAAATTGTAGATCTTTAGTGCTTTTTTCTTCGCTGTCTGATATTTTTTCTGGCTTTTTCACATATGTGTCTATTAGTGCCTTATTTTTTGTATCTCTTAGACTTTCTCCTTTTTTTTTCTTCATTTTTCATTTTTCATATATTTTTTCTTACATTTTTCCATTTCCTTGTTTCAAAACCCTCAAAAAAAAAAAAAAAAAAAAAAACTGCTGTGGTAAAAAATATGTTAGAGTCAAATTTATCAAAGGAAGACTTAGAAGAACTTTGCCGCGCTTTCAGTATATCTACAGAAGGTGTAAAGGCAGACCTAGTACAAAGGTTAAAGCATTTTTCGGCAGCAGTAAGCAAAAATCCGGATAATATTGAAGAAACTGGTGAAATGAACGTGGGAATATTTGATTTTGATGAGTCAGAAGATCACGTGCATAGAGATGATTTCAATATAGATCTTGAAGCAAGATCTTTAAAGGAATTAGCATACAAATCAAAAGGAAAATCGAAGTAACCAATTCTCTCAATGATATAGAAGATCCTATTACTTCCCAAATGCATGCTAAAGAGTGTGTAAATCCGAACAAACGACATTATCCCGAGATGAATTTGGACAACCAATTAGGGAATTTGGTTTTATCCGAATTTAGGAAATTAGAGAATGTAATAACAAATTTTAATAATAAACTTAACTCAGTATCTATACAGATACAAGATACACCGAAATTAATAAAGCATGGCCAGCTTGTAAGTTTGAAAAGCTACATGATCAGCACGAATATGATTCTTTATGCACAATAGAGATGGAACTTGATCTAGCTAAGAAATCAAGAAGTTCTTCGGAGGTAATAACTCATATTAAGAAGGCCCAGGAGGCTGTAGCAAATTGAATATTTACTCTGCGAGTAGCCGAGGGTTATGGGTGAGAAGTTGCAGCAGCACTAACGAACACACAGGATGACTGGCTTAAAGGAAAAGATACGTTAATTGAAAAAGCTAAGGCATTGGCCAAAATAAAGAAGAACAAGCAACAAAAGACAACTAATTGGACCAAAAATCGGGATTTCACATTTCAAAAATCAAACAACCAAGAAAAACCCCAGCATTTTTACCAAAACTCCTACCAAAACTCTTACCAAAATTTCTACCAAAATCATCATGTGGCGAGTAGGTTTTTTCGGACAAATCCCCAACCTCAAAATCAATTTTGAAGTTCCTCAAGTAAATGCTACATTTGTAAAGGATACAGACATTTTGCAAATACCTGCCCTCGGACCTATATTGTGACACCCAATACCAGCAGGAACAAAACTTTAGTTACAAATTAAAAGGATACAATGCATACAGAAATAGGTTTAGAAAACCCCAAGATGAAGCTAAACGCAACTGACTACACTCGGGCCCAACAATTGATAGTAGTGGTAGGGCGTTTACATATAGAAAAGCATACAAATTATTGGAAAATGAAGTTATATGCATCAGATCTAATCCTAAATTGTTTGAGAAATGGGGTGCTCTTGTACTCAAAAAGCCTACTAGCACTGACAAATCAACCTGATCCACCAGAATATCCTTTAATACAAGATCAAAGCAAATGGTTAAGTTTAGAAATAAAGAAGCTTTCAGAGTCGGGTGCAATTGTGCATATTGTGGATTCAACAACCCGTCCACCTTATCTACTCGAAGTGAGCCCATTTTCCTAGTTCCAAAACTAGAGCCCAAGCGTTGGCGGTTGGTAGTCGATCTTAGATGGTTAAACAAGACACTACCAGAAAAACTATTCAAGTTCGAAGGGCTCGACATTTTTTTGTACATGGTTGGCCGATGTTAGTGAGTAATAGTGTTGGACTTGAAAGAAGAGTACCACCACTTACAGATGGACAGCAAGGACTCTCTCTAAGTGCATGTTCTCTAAGTGTATGTTCTTTTATATACATGAAATTCCAAGTTAGGACTTATAAAATATATATATATTCTATATTTTCTAAATACAGATTATTTTTCAAATTATATATATATAAATATTTTCTCAGGTGCAACGATTACTGGGTTTTCAAATAGGGCAGAGCTGATACCATTTTCAGGTATTGCCTTTTGGTCTAAGCCAAGCAGTTTGAATATTCTCAAAAGTAATACATGTGTTAATTGGTCACTGGAGAGCATCAGGGATAATTTGTGGAAATCATGTAGATGATATATGGATAGCTCACCCTTGCAAAAGGACTTTAACACAAATCCGAGATCAGATAAATTTCAAGGATTTGAAAAAGAGTGGTTTTGTTTTGGCAGAGAAGGGACATCCAGAACTAATATACCTGTTAGTCTAGTTGTTTCTCACGTAATTGGTCTAATTACATTGAATTAACGTTCATGCATTATTTGACTTGATTCACCCTGGCTAGAACGCCGTAATTAATTTTTTTTTTTTTCGCTACATCGGATATTGTGGCTAGTCAAGCTAGTTTTCATGTTACTCAGGATATGGAGTCCAACTCAGTCTTTTACAACCGAGTCCACTCGCTTGAAGCCTCTATGAAGACAGATGTATCTTATGATGTATTTCCACTGATGTTCTCACTATGACACTAATCGAAATCTTTTTTTTTTTTTTTTTTGATCTACCCAGCGATTTTCTATACTTATTCCTCATGCGATAAATAATACCACATTGGTTTGGTTGGTTTGATTTCCAATGATTTATTTAAATCTACGACCAATTTTTAGGTTGTTCTACAAATTCTAATCCTGTACTTTATTTGGTTGATCGCTCGTGATTTATCTAATCTGCCAAGCGACTCTTTCTATCTGTTCATCATACATTAAGTCTCCCACACGAACTTAACATCCATGCTATGATTGATTTGATTTCTAACAATTTGTTTAAATCTTTAAGTGATTCTTGACATTTGTTCGTCATCCAATAAGCTGCATCGCATTGCCTTGGCTTAATACCCCCTGTATCATTTGGTTTGATTTCTAATGATTATTTAAGTATGCGAGTGACTCTCTGTATTTATTCGTTTGTGATATTTTGCTGGTATCATCAGTTTAATTCTAGTGATTCTTCATATTTTGGTCGTCATCTGATAAGTTACATTGCCTCACATTGGCTTAATACCTTACATCATTTGGTTTGAATTCTAATGATTATTTAAATATGCGAGTGACTCTTTGTATTTATTCGTCTGTGACAATTTGTTAGCATCATCGGTTTAATTCTAGTAATCTCTTTGTGTTTATTCATTATGTGATGGGTTTCACCATAGTCACTTAATGCTGTGCGTCATCTTGTTTATTTTATAGTGATTTATTTAAATCTGCAAATGACTTTCATTTCTGTTCGTCAATTGCTAAGTTAATCCGCGACCATTTAATGCACGCATGTCTTTTTTTTTTTTTTTAATAATAATTTGCCTAAATCTGCAGGTGATTTATTATCTATTCATTATGCGATCAGCTGCACTATGTTGATCTAATGCCCATGAACTTCTGGCTCGATTTCTGATACCTCATTTAGATCTGCATTGTCTCCTCATGTTGCTTATCATGCTTTACGATTTCTCAATGCCCATGCATTATTGGGTTCGATTTTATTTACTCATCATGCGATAGGTTCCACAATAACCTAATACGGATGCAGCATTGGTTTAATCCTAATGACTTATTCTACTCTGTGATTTCATATTTATTTAACGTAAGATAAGTTACTCTTCGACCTCTCACTACAATGCATCATTAAGTGTGATTTCTAATGATTTCTTTAAATTTACAAGTGATTTATCATGCTTATTCATCATGCGATGAGTTTCATTGTGTTGACTTAATGCCAGTGCATTCTTTTTTGGTTCAGCTTCTAATGATTCAATTAAATCTGCACGGGATTCATTA